ACTAAATTCACAGGTTGATTCAGGCCCACCCACTTCAGCAGGAAGTCCGTTCCGAATCTGCGACGTTTACGCTGAAGAAGTTCGCACTCAAGCGGGGTTTAAACGGGTTCATTAAGACACTGTAGAAGGCTGCAGAGCCCCCGACGACTGTTGTATTTGAAATGAATCCCACCACTGAGTGTAAGAGTTGGTTTATGTGGCACACTGGAGAAGTGCATCAGTTCAATTTTGAGTTGTCCAACCCAAAGTGGCTCCAGATTTAGGGCCTTGCATCTGGAATTCCAGACCTTTATGCAACCGTATCCCAGCAATCTAGCTGCAAAATACCTTCGGAAGCCCTTCGTTTTAAGCCTTTTCTCAATGTGGATACCACTCAATATGAACGGACAGGATTCTAATGGTAGCCGCATCCACGTTTTACAGGGGAACAACTCAGCGCCCCTGGGGCGAAAGTTACTGGTTGTGGAATCCAGTAAGGTCTTAGGTTTGCGAGTCCGTGAAGCGACCTGTTGAGAAAACATGGGGTCACCCAAATATCCTAACCCAAGGTCACATATGCATATGAGAATAAGTGGTTTCGAAGACTGAAGATGTGTCTAGAGGCATAAGAAGAAGGGCCGACACAGCGGACAATAGCTTGGTTGCCGGGGAAGCCTGAATTTGAAGGCTTGGTCCGCTACGTTGTGCAAAGAGCAAGAATAGCCTGGTCGAGATATAGCTCACTGGTGCGACACAACCTGGAAAGCTGTCAGGTGGAGAGTTCTGGCTCACAGTTTGGTAGAAGATGGTATCGCAACTTGGCGAAAGTTGCTGATCGTTCGATGGGTGACAGGATAACGGATCCAACGGATTGCACTTGATGTCATGATTTCCATGGCCTGCCTGGATATCAGAAGCCATTGCAGATACCGGTCAACAAAATAAGGTAGGTAGTCAAGTGACTTGGCGCCTGTTACAGCTGTTTGGAGAGGGGTTACATACCTAAGTTTCGCAATTTCTGGTTCAAATGTAAGTCTGAGGGCCGCGGAGAAAACCACCGCCTCCTGTTACACGTGGTGGATAGTGAAGTTAGTGCCACCTGGTCAGTAGCTTACTTGGCAAATGACATAATGTCTCCTAAAATGAACTTAAGCATCGTTCCAGTGAGGCCGATTGGTCCAAAAGGAAGCGTAAAGGCGAATGAGTCATTGCATAATGGATCAGATACGTCACTAATATCGTAACAAATCGTCAGGGATCCAAGCCTAATTGGTGGGGAGCTCTCCTTCAGTGTGGTTACTGTGACTGGGACTTTCCGGTGCAAATGATAAGCCGTGGGTGTGGAACCCTAGTAGTTGGACGTGTGGGGTTCAGGGGAGGTAAAAAGGGCATACACCGTCAGTCACTAGCCAATATCAGGTGCACGCCCCCTTTCCCAGCACCGGATTTAGATCTGGAGCCACTTGAGAGACATTAAATTACCACGACTGCAGACTCATACTGCTAAAATTCTGATCGAGTGTGGTGTTTCAAATGCACATTGGGCCCTGGAACAGTGTCTTGAAGGTAGAAATGAACTGTTTGGGGGCAAAAACCCGCCTGAGTTAGGTTATATTTGACCCAAAGCAAGGTAAGTCCACACCCAGAACTGTCTGCCAGTTTTCGAATAACTGTATGGTGTCAGATAATCTAGACAAACTTTGTGATAATGAGTCCAAGGATATTAACAGTTCCGGTACGACGCATTCCGTAGGGAATTAAATAGCAACAAAAATTCTGGGTTGTTCTTCTAGGCCATTCTATAGACATTAGGATGCTCTGGCGATTGGTCAAAACCTAGTTTACCCGACAACAATGAAAAAGCTAAGAGTAGGCTTTAGCGTTTAAGAAAACAATCTGTAAAGGATAGCAATCTACTGCGGGTATATCAGGAGGTCAATAAGCTGGTTGAAGTGCATTTCGGGTGAGGATCTCGAGCCACCGCCGTTGCAAGTGACATGGAGATGTTCCTGCAAATCAGGATTCTGGAACATGACAGGCTAGCATTTCGCCTTCTGTGGTGGAAGCGTGGTGTCACAAACCGAAGGGTTACTGACCTTCAGTTGACTTTCCATGCATTTGGTGTGGTTCGTCGCTTTTCTGCGCAAACTGCGTGCTCAGAAAAGCCATAGACACTTTCGGTGTTAAAGATCATAGTGAAACTAAAGGGGCTGCTGATAAAAATTCCATCCAGATGACTATTTAGCTTCTGCTAGTAGCACCTCTAGTGCTATTACCTTAGTTGAGCGGTCACGGCACGCACCTGAGAGAGAAGATTTGCAGCTATTCTATGTCACAGGTGGAAACTCTGGCATAGAACTCCTGGTAGACATGGAAGCCTCTCTCAGTATTTTACCACGGAACGTGGTCAAGCATCGACACTGCAATTACGCCACAGGTCACCCGTCGAATTGAATGTTCTGAGAAATGACCATAACCCCATATTGTGGACTTGAACGGTAATTTCCCTGGGTTTTCACCACGGCAAACTTAGACCTGGCAATACCGGGGATGGACTTTTTGGTGAACTTTGAATTTTCATTGGACATAAAGTGGGCGGCGGTCAACGCTGACGGAAACTTCTAGTTAGACAATAGGCAAAGCCACCCCTTGACCTGACACAGTCTCCGTTAACGTCAGCTGAATGGTGTGGGAACATTGGCGGATTTCTCAAACCTGATGTCACGTAAGTCCTAAGATTGCATATTTCATGAAAGCGAAAGGCCTCCTGCATTCACAAGACCCAGGAGGCTAGTACCAGATGTGTGAAAATCCCAGACGCTGAACTAATAAAATGCTGCAACTGGGCATTATCTACCCTTCCAACAGTCGGCGGTATTTCCCGCTACATATGGTAGTCAATAAGAATCAAACAGACTGGCGACCATGTGGTAATTACTGAGCACTGGACAAACTGCTCTTCACAGGTGCCCAGTACCCCATATTCAAGATTCCATCAGCTGCCTGAAAGGTGCCGACATATTCACTAAACTGGCCTGGTCCACACAGATCGCAACATCCCCGTGACCAAAGAAGACATTTCGAAAGCAGCCATCGCCACCATATTTGGTTTTTAGCTGTTCCCGCTGATGCCTTTCGGACTTCGGAACACTGCACAAACTTTCCGGCCGTATACGGATGATCCTGTGAAAGACTGACAATTTGCTAAAGCATGCGTTGGTGCTTTGCTTGTTGCCAGCCCGGGCAAGCTCCTTCATGTGGTCCACATGCGATCAATAAAGTTGATTTTTCAAATATATCCAGCAGAACAGAGGGAGAATGATGTAGTCCAAGAGCATTTGCATTGGGAATGATTGTTAACACCAGACGTGCCTACTTGATGTATATAGAATAAACACTTATGTCGTGTAGCCTTCGTACTTATCTCCTAAGGAGCACTGAGGACACAAACTACCATATCCGTTGGGATCCTTGCGAGGAATATTATTCTTCTGCATCTAATTGAGAGGAATTTACGGTTTCTAAATGGGCATCTGCTGAGTAAATCAGAGGGTGAAAAGACATTTTGCCAAACGCTTTAGGCCGGCTTGAAGACCTGCGGAAAGTTCTCCAGGAAGTTCAACACATTTCAGCAGTTTTAGTCAAAATATTTAAGTACCGAAGGAAATTTTCTGCTTTGCTTCCAGTCCACTAGAACTCTTTCATCACAGAATCGGCCCAAAAGTACCGACGTGAGCGGGGAGTCTTTAACGACTAGATAAATGTTGCAGACGGTTAAACATTTCCCCTAAACCAAGAAATGCAGTAGGAAGTTTCTTACAAGTTTCGGGTGGTGACAACGATATTTTAAGTCAACACTATATCTGCTTATCTCATTTATCAACAGACAGTATGCCCTGGCCTTTGCGACACGCAACAATGTAAAAACCAAATATGGAAAACCTAAATTCACTTCAGATGCTCAAGCAGCAGAAAGCCGGCAACGCTTGTTTGAACTTGGCTCCTACCATCAGCCTGTAATCCCAAGTCGGTAAAGTACAGTAGGAGAATATAACTGGTAACTGAGGGACTAACATCACCCAATAGATATGTACTAAGTGAATCCGGAGTCAAACAGTGTTTCTTTGTTCAATCCACAAACTATCCTCCCCTCATCTTTTGGCCTAAAACAAATCTGTATTTCATCCAAGAATAGAGTCGTGGTAAGGCTTCCTGATCAGTGACTTAAAATGACTAAAACTTGTTTTATTTGCTTAAATCAGATCGTCTCAAACCAAGTTGTATGGTGAAGAAGCACGTCTGGCAACACAGAGACCGAAATAAGCTAGAGTGCAGTAGTTAACAGTGAGCATAATACGACAATGGCATTGAGGGTCATATTTAGGTCAACATATGTTGGACAGTTGAGCAAATCGGAACAGGTCTTTATTCTTCAACGTGTACATGGTATTTAATACCCTATTCCAGTGATTAATTACTTAGGATTTTCTCACCCAAGTATCATGAGTAATATGGCAGCGACTCGAATGGCAGCCGAGGTCTGGTTTGCACACATGGCACTAGTCATCTTCACTGATATGTGTTTACTTAACTTCACAAGCCATCGGAAGGATTCAAAATTCACTCAAAATTCACATTTGCTAAATGGACGGATATTCGACGTTTATATTTACGTGTTTAATGAGTTGTTCAATTCTTGATACAGGAATTCACATAAAGCTGGGTTTAATCGAAACCTTACTGAATATTACTAATTACTGAATTAAATGTATGGGAATACAGTCAAAATATTTTCTTGGTTTGTGTACACCAAGCTGCGCTACGTCGGCCATCTTGTAGGCGCTACCTACGCAGTGTAGACGTGGTGGATAGTGATTGATTTTCATTGTTTCGGCCTTTGCCAGCATAGTCACGCTCTAATTTCCAGTTGACCGTTTTCTAATTGGTCCACAAAGTTCATGTTTAATGGATAAAAAGCCTTGTCTCTCTGAAATATCAACTGACGGATGCGAAAAACTTTCAAGGTGAGGCATCTCACGTGACGCCATCTTGGTATTATTTACTCGTTTTGAGTTGATATATATACAGGCTCAAGTTTATGCAGTTTTATCATTTTAATGCGATAAATGGTTATATTTTGTAAACGTCCATCACTCTATATGTCACTTTGCCTGATTTTACATAATGATTCGGCTGTCTATTCTTGATTTTGTGTAGACCAACTGGTGACATGACAAGCCCGACTCATGGACACTTTGATCAAGAGAAGAGAGTTCGTAGAGAAATTGCTAACAGTAATGAACGCCGGAGAATGCAAAGTATCAATGCTGGGTTCGATTCCCTACGTATCTTACTACCTACGATATCAGATGGTGAAAAGATGAGCAAGGTAATCTTACTCTTTTTCGTTTATTTCGTTAGGCTACCATATTACAGTTAACGGCCAAGTATATTAATACTTTGCTAATGCGTGTTAGCTTGTTGGAGAGTGAAGTAGCCGTGTACCGCCAGTCAGCTGGTTTGCAACCCAACGCAATCACTACGGACATGTCATGTCCAATCCTCACCGCTAGAAAACGAAAGTCTGATGATCTAAGTAAGTTTGCCACTTACCTGAACTTCATCTTCCATAGAAAAACGTCCCGATTGTATACGCAGTCGCCGTCGACGAGTTGAAACGGATGGCACTTTTGATTCTACACGTCAAAATTATATTCATTTCTCTCCTGAAAGTACGGATACCCACCAATCATCTCCACTGAATTCATTCAATAGTAGTACATCAATCTGTTCTGCTTCTCCTCAACCTGAAAGTACAAGTAGTACTGCTGCAAGATTGGAGCATTTGGTAATGGCTATTGAACAAATTGAAGGGGTGGAGCTCTTAACGTTTCACCACAACCTGAGAGCCATGATGGTAGTTTCTCAATGGGAGATCGTTCACCATCAGAAACATACTGGCATAGTCCACAAGAAAATTATCATGGTTATGCATATGTTGACACTCAAACATCAATTCAGAAACCAAATAATCTCTTCACAGATTCCCTTTTATTGACTCCAGTGTCAGAAATCAATCCACCTCTTAACCCTGGTGAAAGTACTCAAGTTCATAATACTGAGGAATATCCAATTGTAGCAAAACTTTTAAATCGTCCTATTCCTCATAAATACCTCCATAGGCCCCAGGTCGTCGTTAACAGTTCTCATTAACTTCATATTGTTAGTTTCGCATTTTTCAGCCTCTAACTTTAATCGGGATAATTTATACCGACTGTGCTTACAGAATTTCGCTAGTGCGGTGTACATATACTTAAGGTTTATTATATTATTTCCCTGAAATTTATCTATATATTTTGTGATCTTTTATATCTTTAGTTATTCGTTTGGTTAAATGAGGGGAAAGGTCTAAGTATTGCGCCATTTGAAGGTTTTACTGTTTAGCAATTTTTGTATTTTGTAAAAATAACTGGTAGTTTGTTTTTTGTTGTTTAAAACTGATCATACATTTGCTTGAACATTTCACATATGATGTTGTAAATGTTCTCCTACTCACCTTTGGCGAGTTCTATTAAATTGTTGTAGAGTGAGACTCTGCTTCTCTTTTTGATTGGCTTTTTTTCTTTCTATATGCATGTCTGCTTTGATTTTGTACAGTCAACTGTTTCACTCATCATTAGGTTTGTACAAATCATTGGTATATGCATTACTGTAGTCTCAACAGGATCAGCTCTGGTGGCTCAATGGCCGATGGAATCTCTGCACGGATACAAGAAGCTCGGCATGGTTTTGCCAAGTTATGGCGCTGCCGTGGTATCCGGTTGTCTATTAAGGGTCGCATGTACTGCACAGCAGTCCGGTCTGTTCTACTGTATGGCTGTGAAACATGGCCATTAAAGGTGGAAGACATGAGAAGGCTTCAGGGGTTTGACTACCACCGTTGCCTTCGTAGTATAGTTCGTATTCCGTGGTGTCACCACGTGAGTAACGCAGACGTCAGGTATAGAGTTTTAGGGAGTAAAGAAGAGGCAAGTCGGTTGACGAGGTTATGAACCTTGATAGATTGAGATGGTTGGGACACGTGTTACGTATGCCTAGTCACCGATTGCCTCATCACACGATGTTGGTCGAGGTAAGTGGAGTCTGGAAAAAGGCGCTAGATGGGCAGACTGAAACATGGCACCAATGTATAAAGTCTCTAACTGTTGGTTCCAGCCATGTGTGGCGATGGAAACTTGGTGATTGGGGTTGGTGGGACAAGAGGAACCAGCTGTTGGAGACCGTAGATGATATGGCTCAGAGTTGATGTCAGTAGCGGGTGTGTATACACACATTATCTTCATCTTAACAACGCTATACGGAATCTCACCATTTTCTCATACTTCATTTCTTTCTTTCCGTACTTTATATTTCTTTTGACTGAGTTTTCTTATCTTCATCTTGCGTCTCATTGCCTTTTTACTTAATGTAGTGATACGAGGTGTGTCAACTTAGACCGTTACGCATTAATGCCTGATTCTATATTGATGATGATTATGCAGTCTCAACAATTCATGGATACTGTTGTGAGTAATCTACAACATCGAATTGTCCTGCGAATCACGGTACCACTTTCTGTCAGTTCTGGTATTCAGATATTTGTTATGCTGTTCCATAATTCAGCAGTTAGCCATGCGTAAGCGGTGACCTGACGCCGTACAGGGTTATCTATAACTCCACAGCAAGTGATATTGCTGTTGTTGTGTCGAAGCGTGTATTTATCACAATACTTTGAGTTAAGATAATTTGATTTACTTCTGATCGATAATAATTCAGAGGATTTCTTTGGTGACTTCCTGGTGGGGTCCACCTAGTTGCAGTAAAAATTGGGAACCTTAACGACGTCGGATTATGGTTACTTAAAAGCGACCGATAACTACTACCTTCATGTGATCCCGCTTGCATATCACACTGATAAAAAAAACTACTCTAGTGGGTAGGTTTATCCTACCGGAAACGTTTGTTTGATGGTGGTAAGACAAAAAACAGCTGCCGTTACAGTGCAAACAACCACAATGTGACGGGGTTCGGATGTGAAGTCATATTGCTAGTGTGACAACAGTAGGGTGTTAGCAGCAGTGGATGCTGATACTGCCATTCTTATAGGATGGTGGCACCGATTTTGTAGCTGGGTTTAAGATAGTCCAAATTAAATTTCTGAAATGGTCATGTGTCGCTGACCCTAAGTAGATGTCCAATGCGCTCTGCCGTCAGGTATCATTCTTAGTAGTGCAATCTCTCTCAGGTACCTTAAAAATAAATGACTTTCCACGTTGTAACAAGCTGGGGAGTCAATCATAGTCACAACTCAGCACCTGAGTTCTCTTACATCATCATCAGCCTTTTCCGTCTTTGACCTCTAATATTCTTTAGCACTTCTCAGTCATTAATTCTACATCACCTTCGATTTTCCCAACTCTAGCCCTTGATAGTCATTCAGGTTCGCAAGACAACATATCTAGTCTCTTAGAGCTGCACTCCAAACTGTTTATGGCCAATGTCAATTTTCGCCAGCCAAAACAGGTTTCTGGAGCCATGAACGTGTGCTGTGTTTGTGAGACACGCATACAATATCCAAATATGGTCATCCACTTAACTTCACCTGACCAATAAGATGGATCTGAGAAACTCACACCCAGTTCCTGAAGACTCAGTGACTAGATTTTGCTTTCTTTAAGGTATAGGTATAAAATTACGTTCTAAGGCGGGAAACGCACCACTCCTAGTTGACAGTCACCTTTACGTTGTTCAACTGAGTAGTGTAGTGAAAACTATAAGGAATAGTAAAACTTGTCGCCGTTCCTTCAAGCTCTCTACTAGCAGCGCACCCACTGTTTGCAGTTTTGGATGAAATGAAGCAAAGTTCTGTTGTCTAGCCTCGCCTCCTGCAGAAAGCCAAAGGGTAGAAAAGATTTGTAGCTAAGGATGAGGGTGATAATTGTACAATGTTCTCTAAGCCTTCAGGTTTGTTTCTAGACGTTTCACAACTAGGTTGAGAGACTTCAATATCTACTTCCAAAGAAAGTTAATGTTCATATGTCATAACAGATGAATGCAATGCACCGTTTGGGGTGGGAGGTAGGTAGGTAAATTAAGCCAATCAGAGGCACTGTCGGAGTCCCAGCTAAACGAAAGGTCGCTGATAACCGCCTACTACAACTAAGTGCAGATAGTGACCTATTTCTGGTTGGCATAAACTTCAGACATCAAGGGAGACGTCTAACATGGTGTCCACCGACTTCACCAAAAAGTATGTATAGACCATACTGCTACCAGCTATCTTTGGAGATGGTCGGTGGGAAGTTTCCGCTCCTCGTGCGGCAGTGTTTGGCCAAAATCAGTTCCTAAAGTCTATAACTGTTGGTTTGAGCTATTTTGAGGAACGCATACGTCCTGTTTAAAGTTTGCGTAACATCCAACATCGGTAGTTAAACACTCGGTGACATGCCTTAAAATCAATCTCGGTGGCATGGACTCACCCTCACATTATTTTAGTCGTCACCAGCATTCTGGGTTTCATTCTTTTTCGTTGTTTGTTTGAGACTTTCTTCTACTTTTGATTGCCTCGTTCCTTGTTTCTACTATCCTTTTGCTTCCTGCCTAATTAGTACTAGGCAATAATACCGGGTTCTAAATAGATACTAAGTGACCTGAGAATATTTATTACAGAAATGTGTAAAGCTGTAGCGCATTGGTTCGAAAGTTTCGCCGCAGATGCGTAGATGGTTTGTGCGGTCAAGTTGTCTTCAGGTCCCCCATACAACTGTCGTGGTTGCCTAGCCTAGTGTGGGACATGCATGTGATTATGAAGTTGGATATTACTTGATGCAATCAAATTGTTGACCGACTGACCGTCACGGTTCTGCATTGTGGTTATTATTAGCCTTTCTGTTTTCAAACTTACTGGTTACAGGTAGCACTATAGAAGAATAGCAGATGGTTGAGCATAGATCCTAACCTAGCCGGTTGGCGTTAGTTTGAACCCTAAAGCATCTAAATTTTCTTCACCTCCCTTTGGGTAGTAGGATAACCGATTGGTATTGTAGGTTACTCCAAGTCAGTGTTGAACAGTCTCATATTTTGTTTCATCTCGAGAAGTTCTCCCAATTGTTAAAAGCAATAAATTAAAAATGACTCACAACCTAACCTTAAAAATGTTTTAAAGGTGAGAATGGAACAAGAAAAAAGTTCACTATGAAGGGAGAGTTTTATAGTCTGCTCAGTCAATTTACTTTTCAGTTACGTTGTGTACTCAGAGACCACTTGACAGGTAAAAAAGTGTGGAAACAGTTGGATAGAACTCATCAGCTAAGTACTCTACTTATATATACCATGACGCACTGACAGGGAGAAAGAAATACGTATATTACACAAATTTAGAAATCGATCGAGAGATAGCATAGAAAAGGGCAATTGTTACAGGTCAGGTGGCAATGTGAAGGGTCGACTTGAATGTTAAAGTTGTGTTTTGGTGGCATCTGACTGGCCAAGCGTACCATTCTACTCAAAGCTCTCTCTCCCTGTCTAACTACGCAACAGTTCAAGGATGTGTAGAGAATTGCAACCTGAGGTAATGACTGGTAATGGTGTCCATAAAGGGTGTTTACGGTCACCATTCTTATGTAACTATGTTATAGACTTACTGATACATGTTACCCTATATGCCTTCAATTATTCACGGAGTGGCTTACTGCCTCAAGACTATTTAGTCGACTTTTAGTGTACAGATGATGACGCTGGATATTCTGAAGTCTTCGAGAAAAAAGTGGAATATGTTTTATATGCGTTTTCTCGTACCTTCCAAGCGTAAAATAGTATTTCAAGACCGATCTAAACTGAGCCCTGAATTGAAAGATAGCTTAGGAGAGTGCTCGAATGAGGTGACAAGTCCCCTTTTTCCAAAAAATTACACCACTCAGTTGTAGATTAAAGTCTCTACACAGATACAGGAGACTCATTTAGAATTTGCCAACTTTTACCATCTCTGGTACCACTGAGATAACTAAACTGTTAATCCACGGTTCATTAATTCATCCTATCCCATTGTATGGTCGAAACATGACCGTTGAAGGTTCAAGTTATCCATTATTGGGCAATATTAAGGATGGGTGCAAGGGCGATAATTCATTCGGTAGGTTGTTTGAGGGTTATCGCAACGGGCAACACCAGCTTGTGTAGGATTAGGTGAAGTCTCTATATACTGATCTTAAGTCTTTGGGAAGGTGTAGGGTACCTGGCTTGGTTGCAAGTGATGCTGGGAATCAGTGACTGTAAACATTTTTGTTGATATACCATGAAATCGATCACGATGAAGCATATGTATAAACTGTTTGTTATATTCGAAATGCTGGTTAGTTTCATTAATCCTTATTTATTCTCACCTATGCGGCTGTTGTAATAACCAAAACATATTGCCTATGAACATTTTGACTGTTTAGACAGTGAGTCACTGGTTCAATCGACCTTCGTCCTACTTACTGAGGGTGTGGCCAGCCAGGTAGTATCATTACTCTTCTCACACTAGATGTGTTTCATTGTCAACTGGATAAATCTGCTCAAAGTTACTGAGT